AAACCCTAGACAGGGTTGCTATGAGTCAGAACTGACTCGATGGCACTTAATACAAACAACAACAGTACCATTTGGAAGGAGTCCTGCTAGCACTGTGGGTTAAGTACTGGCCTGCTAACTTGAAGGCTAGCCGTTCAAACCTGCCAGCAGCCCCACAGGAGAAAGATAAAGCTGTCTGCTGCTCCTGTAAAGATTTACAGGGTTGGAAACCCTAGGGGGGCAGTTCCACTCTGTGCTCTAGGGGCACTAAGAGTGGGAACCACTTGATGACAGTGGTTACACCCGTCAGGGTGTGTCAAACTTAGGGGACCCCTTCTCCCCAGCTCTTCGGCATCATTTCTCTGAATGCTTTCCAGACACCAAGTTCTCGGGGGGGGGCCATGTGCACATGCGCCTCCTCCCACCGTGGACCTACATCCTTTCCTGTCCCGCGATGCTGTTTCTTCTGCTGTTGCCCTTTGGGGATTTTCTCTTTCCTCTGGAGTCCAAATGAGGTTTTGTCTCCTTCATACAATCATTTCTAACCCCTCCTCTACCCCTCATGGTCTGCTTCACACAGCACACGTCACTGCAGACGTTGGCAACATCAGTGCTATGGTTCAGTGGATGTTCCTGTTATCTCCCTGTGGAGAGCTCCCTGAGGGGAGGGCCCGTGCAGACAGGGCTAAACCAGTACATGGCTTTCTGATTCACCGATGGATCCCTGGGCTGGTCGTTGAGCTAGATTTTCCATACATGCTTTGCTTCTGGAGATTATTAAAGTTGACTTCTCCAGGCTGGACCTGTATTTACTAATTAAACAGTTAATTAGTAAAGCATTTAATATATTGTTTAAAGAATGAACTGACCTACCCCCACTCAGATACTTTTTTTAAAACTTCTATGGCAAGAGTCCACCACTCGTCTGTCAGTTTGTTGTACTGTGGTGGCTTTGTGTTGCTGTGATTCTGGAAGCTATGCCTTGTGTATTTTAAATAGCAGCAGGGTTGCCCATGGTGGACAGGTTTCAGCTGAGCTTCCAGATGAAGACAGACTTAGAAGAAGGAGAGACAGAGTACTTCTGAATATTTAGTCACTGGAAACCTTATGAATGGCAGTGGAACACTGTCAGCACCAGAATATTGAATGTTGACACATGATGAAGAGCACCAGAATACTGTCAGATACCGTGCTGGAAGGTGAGCCCCTCAGGTTGGAAGGCACTCAAAATATGACTGGGGAAGAGCTGCCTCCTCAAAGTAGAGTTGACCATGATGACGTGAATGGACTCAAGTCTTTGGGACCTTCATTTTCTGATGGGGCATGACTCAAAATGAAGAGAAACAACTGTACACATTTATTAATAACTGGAACATGTAATGTACAAAGTATGAATCTAGGAAAATTAGAAATTGTCAAAAATAAAATGGAATGCATAAACATTGATATCCTAGGCATTAGTGAGCTGAAATGGCCTGGTATTGGCCATTTGACAATCACATGGTTTACTAAGCCAAGAATGACAAATAGAAAAGGAATGGCATTACATTCATCATCAAAAAGAATATACCAAGCTCTGTCCTGAATTAAACACTGTGATAGGATAATGTCCATACGCCTACACGGAAGACTAGGTAATGTCACTATTATTCAAATTTACGCACCAACCACTAAAGCCAGTGATGATGAAACTGAAGAATTCTAACAACTTCTTCAGTCTGAAATTTATCAAACATGTAATCAAGAAGTGTTGATAATTACTGACAATTGGAATGCAAACACTGGAAACAAAGAGGAAGGCTCAGTATTTGGAAAATACGGCCTTGGTGATAGAACCTATGCTTGAGATCGCATGATAGAATTTTACAAGACCAATGAGTTCTTCATTGCAAATACAATTCTTTTGAACAATATAAAAGATGACTATGCACATGGACCTCACCAGATGGAATATACAGAACTCAAATTGACTACATCTGCAGAAAGAGACAGTAGAAAAGCTCCATATCATCAGGCAAAACAAGGCTAGGGACAGACTGTAGAACAGACCATCAATGGCTCATATACAAGTCCAGGCTGAAGCTGAAAAAAGTTAAAACAAGTCCACAAGAGCCAATATATGACATTGAACATATCCCACCTGAATTTAGAGATCATCTGAAGAATAAATTCTATTCATTAGACACTAAAGACAGAAGACCAGAAGAGTTGTGGGATGACACCAAGAACATCATACAGGAAGAAAGCAAAAGTTCATTCAGAAGGCAATAAAGAAGGAAAAGACCAAAATGAATGTCAGAAGAGAGTCAGAAGCTTGCTCTCTTAGCATAGAGATGCTAAAGCAAATGAAAGAAATGAGGAGGTAAAAAAGCTGAATAGAAATTTTCAAAAAGTTATATCATGAAGACAAAGTCAGATATTATAATGAAATGTGTAAAGATCTGGTGTTAGAAAACCAAAAAGGAAAACATGCT